AACAATATACTGGATATACTGGACCAGATATATATTCTGGTCTGACCATATGGCCTTCCAGGGAACCATTTATTAGCCACAGGAATAGTAATACAATAAATGAAAATATTAAGTGACAGGCGTGTAGAAATATTACTTTCAGGAATGGCTTCCCAAATGGACCTATCAACCATGCTGATTTATTTATCCAGGTAATAATCTGTGACACAGGAATTAAAAAAAAGATGTCCATGTATGTTATAAATTGTATGTTATATTGATAGGTGATTTTTGCACACTGCAGCCCTGATGATAGATAGATAGATAGATAGATAGATAGATAGATAGATAGATAGATAATGGATGGATGATAGGTGCAGATAGATGGATGGATGATAGATGATAGATAGATGATAGATAGATATAGATGGATGATAGATGCAGATAGAGATAGATAGATAGATAGATAGATAGATAGAATAGATAGATAGATAGATAGATAGATAGATAGATAGATAGATAGATAAATTTAATGTCACTTCCCTCCATGTGGCTTAAAATTCAGGGTGCTTTTGTAAACACTTTTCTTCCCCAGTTTTCATTCTGTTTTCTCATGGTATACAATAAAGATACACACAAGCAAAATTGTTCCAAATAAGCCAACATTCTTTTAAAATTCACTGTCAGTAGTAAGGGCTCTCACCAAATGAGACAGAAGTAGAGACTGTTGATTACTACATTAGGCAGAGTTGGATTTCACTTCATCTACATGGGCTTATATTTTAGATATATTCAGATATTTTAGCACATGTATAGATACACAGAACCTGGGAATGTACGCCTGCAATTCGGCGTTGTGCCCAATCAACAAATTAAAAAATAAAATAAACATAGTTCAATTTAAAAATATGAGTACACCAACTTTAACTTTCAAATCCAAGAATATTTTAGTGTGCTTTTGAAATTACAGCAGGTTAATACATTCTTGATACTTTCCCCCTATTGTTCGAGAGCTTTTAAGAAAAATGAAGCAGTTGCTGTAACCCCACTGAGAAAGAGAGATCCTTGTTGCTGAAAGGGATTTGGGGGGGGGGGTGTCAACTCTTGCTATTTCTCTGAAGATAGCCCCTATCTTATTTTAGCAAGGAAAGGCAAAATCCTTAACACATATACATACACTCACACACAAACACACACACACACAAACACACACACAGAGATGGCCCTCTGTTAAATGTTTAAAAGAAAACAAGTGTTTTCTTTTGAACCCAATTATCATGGGGTTTACCAGAAATGTGTAGTACAAATTAGCATGTAGAGTATGCCACACAATTAACCAATTCTAAATTTTCTAGACCAACTGGCATACTGAAAACAGGAGGCAGCACACTGCTGCTGCTGAAGCAACAAGAACACTGCTCAAAGGCAAGGCTGCCTGAATGCCTCATATTGCATGTTGCTTTTGCCTGTATTTTCTATCCAAGCTTCCTTATATTAGACTAGGAAATTAGTTACTCTCTCTTGCCTTGCCAGTTCCTATCCTTGAGAGCATTAATAAAGACGGGTGGTAGAACCCTGCCATCATTGCTGTTATAAAATCCTTTTATAGGATGGTAAAAGCCAAGATTAGGTCTGTTAAATGATGTAATTAGATCCTTGAAATATGTACACACACTCTCCCTCAATTTTTGTTAAATTTGTAATAGAAATACAGAGCCCACTAAAAATCATTTTGGTATGGCACACAACCATCCAACACACAATTTTCTTTTGATAAGTGGTCAAAAGAAAATCCCAAGAACAAATTACCATTTGTGTTTGCATTTCCCAAGGCTCATTGTCCAGAATTGTGCCTCCTCCCCCTTCCTGCCTCCCACGCTTGTGAGACTGTCAGTATAATTAGGATTGCAGACAGATCCTATCACTGCCAGTGGATGAGATGGTTCACTGGGAAGTAAGAGGCTCCCACTGACAAGTGCTAACAGCCTTACAGACAAACATTGCAAACTAGGGGCAGAGGCAGATGGCTAAGCTATGATTGATTTGCTGTACCAAGTTATAGGCTTCTGATTATTTATTATTTATTTGGTGCTGCTGGCCAGCTAACAGCCATATAATCTACAGTGGAAACATTGCAATCTTATGCATCCACTATGGATCAATCAACATACCTTGCTGGTTCATCATCTCACAGGCTGAGAGCAAATCCCTTTCACATTTACTCAGGAAGAGACTCTGTGTGATTTAGTTGGCTTACTCCCAAGCCCCTATACTTCAAATCTACTTCGAAGAGGGAGAAAAGGAACAAGCTTTTTGCTCCCAGATTATTTCAAGTCCTGTTAACAGAAAATTTTCTGAGATTTCTAATATCAATAAGAGATAGATGAACACAGTTCCTTTTGGTTTCTCTGGCTTCCCATTCACATCTCTTCAGATTATTTAAGAAAGCAAACTTATTTTAAATTTGTCCCTAACTCTTATAGTCTCAAATTCCATTCTAGATAGAACAGAACTGAATATTTTAGGCTATGGATATTACTTAAGGACTATGTCATGACAGATACATATATATATTTGTGTGTGTGTGCATATATACACATACACACAGATATATATACATACATACACACATCTATATACATACACACACCCACAGATACATGCATGCACATTATGTAAAACTCTACAAGAAAACAAAAAAATCTTGACAGTAGAGATTTTCCAGCTAATACGTTGTCTAGATGTTCAGTCTTCTCTCTTCTCTGATATTCTAAAACTGTCACATAATATTCCAATACCAAGTTACAGAGTTCTCAAATTCCCAGTGAACACCTCCGCAGAACAGAAAAGATGCAAACACAGTTAAAGAGAACTACAAGATTGTCAGCAAACAATGCTCCAAGATTTCTTCACCACAAATCTTTGGAATAAAACTTAGATCTTACCCTTATTCTTAAATCCTACTGTTAATTGCCTCTGTAAAGAGTATTCAGGTTTTGGTCCATATCTCATTCCATCATTAAGGGCTAGACTTTGTTATTTGCAATATGAATGGTTGCTGATAGTCACAGTATATGCAGGGATTCTGAGCCCAAGGAGGGAACTGTTTGGAACCTCAATAGCTGAATGAAATTACAGATGGAAAGAAAACCCCAAGGAATAAGTATTATGAATCAGTGTCTGTACTTACATTATATATTTGAAGATATAAAAAGTTATTTTAATGTTTCTACATCCTAAACATGAATTAGGAAATTAGTGAACAGTCAACAAGTCAAAAACAGTCCAAAGTAGGGCAGTGAGCTAGTTTAGTGAGTGGAAGAGTAGCAACCAAGAGAGTTACAGGCCATTCCGTTTCTCAGCACATCTTGCAGGGATGGTCCCAAATTAACTATACACAGCCATTCTGAATTACTATCTCTTTACCTGCATGAGAGATAGTTTGAAAAGGCAGTCTTTGGAATAGTGCCAGCTCCAACTAGCTAAAAATAAACATTATGCATATATAGAGGAAGGTGTGTGTGTGTGTGTGTGTGTGTGTCTGTGTGTGTAAGTACAGAAAAAAAATCTAATTTGACCACAACCATCAAACTATCTACAAGATCCAAGCATGAGCCTGATGCCTCCATTGTTCATTAAATAGTACAACCATTGCTTGAAGTGGACCCATGCATCTACTTTTTTTTGTTTAAATTAGTTGTTTGGAAAGAAGTCCGTGCTTACCAAAAAGCCAATCCTTTCATTCAACTGCATTGTGTTTGACAAGTGGGAATTACACCACCTTAATAAAATGGGACAGGAGAATCTAAGTAGGCGTTTTCTTTTTTAGAAGAAAACACATAGGAGACTAATATTAAAAGCAAGAGGTTCTCACTTTTCCACTCATAACTTACATGGTTGCAAGTATTCTATGGATCTGCTTAACCCAAAATATTTCTTTTGCGGGTGCCAGACACACATATATGTTACCACGTATTTCACAAGGTAAAAGGGCTAGCAACAACAAATAACCAGAATTGCTAACCATTTTTTTGTGGGTTGCCACAAGCATGCTCCCCATGGTGCAGAAGGTAAACCTGAAGTCATGCCTGAGTGAGAGAATCCAAGACAGATATCCAGGTGTGTAAATGAGTTCTCAGAAACTTGGAGAAAAGGTTCAAAGCTTCAAATAAGCTTTCTTTCAAGTTTTCATTAGGTAATTAAATAGGAAGTCTGAACTATGGCAATATGGTGATGCCTCCAAAGATATACTGTGATCTTGCTCAGGGATTTCGCTTGTCAACCATTATGCAATCATATCATCAGTTTTCACAGTTCCTCTGTGCACGTGATGTGCAATAACCAAATACCAAAATTAAAGGAACAAAACAGTATGTCTCTCTCTCTCTCTCTCTCTCTATATATATATATATATATATCTCCTTGACAAATCCACAACAGGTGAAGCAAGAAAAGTGGTAGGTGTATCCTAGGATCGCTGCAGAGTGTACTGCCAATTAAGGCCATTGGTATTGACTTAAACAGATCTTGACAGCTCAGTTCTATGAAAAAAGAAAACGGAGCAGATCAAGAAGTTCTTGAGGAATCTTGATGAATCGTTGTATGTAAGGGTGCCTTAAAACAAAATCGGCAGAAAGGAACCAAGACAGTAATGTTTTGGCTACCAAACTGGAATTTGGTTTTTCTAGGTCATTAGTTTTCCTTCCAAAATTATCTCAAAAGAAAAGTTAGTGCTACAAATATGCAAGTCCAAAATAGGTTTCCCCCCTCCCCAGTCAAGTTGCACCAAGAAGCGAGTTACATATATGCTGCTTCTATGCTGTTCACCTGCAAGGAATCCTCTTCCATCTGCTTTGATTTCCATTGGCAATAAACAGGAGCAAAGATTTTCAAGTTCTCAAGTGCTGTAAGCAACTGTGTCTTAAAGACTTCCCCTGCATCCCTTTTCCTAATCACATGTCTTCTGCCTTTCAGATGGGCAAGGCATTGGAAACAGATTAACGTACTGCTGAGAGCATGACAGCATTTAGTGCATATTGTGTGTATAGAAGTTTACATGTGATCAAATTCTTTTCTTCTGGAAGGTAGCAAGAGACAGGCAATTGGGTTCCACCCTTCTCCCCATGACGCTATGGTCTAACTGCATCCGGGTCACACTGTATGTTCCCTATTATTTAGATGTGCCTCTTCATATGGAGGGCAAGGTGATCAGACCTTGAAAAACACCTGCAAAGTAAATACAAAAATAACATCAATATCAAAGACAATTATATCTTTTGGATTTCACTTCTCACTGTGTACAGTTTTTAGTCAACTGGAAAAGTCTCTGCTTACTCCTGCATAATAAAATTGCAGAAATTGTGAAGCACTTGATATGTACTAAACATGGTATGAGTAATAAATGAATACAAATTTAGCTGGCAATTTCAATTCTATTACATCCATTTCAGAATCTACCTTTTCAGTTCCCATGGTCATGGAAGAATCCTTAAGAAGAAAAATGGGTGAGACAATGTCATAATTTTGAAATGTATATAGATCACTGTCTCCAGTGTAATTCCTCCATGATAATTTAGTCAGTGGTTTATAACTGAAAAGGGTGGCTGGAAAGAAATGCCCATCTAATCATGGTCTAGCCAGAAGAAAGCAAGATAATCATTGAGAAATAAAGACACAAACATGATCTCATATATGGAGAAGCCATTCTCAAACATTATGTAGTATTTTAAAGGACCATTGTGCGATACTGATTTACAGACAATTCCTACTCCCCCAAAAATTGAGCCCACTGAAATATTTTAAACAATCTTCTACCAAGAGCAAAGCATTCATAAATATGCATATGTATTCATAGTTCAAGATGTTATAAGAGCTTCATATCATCAAGGATGGCCATATTTGGGCTGCAGAAATCCATATGGTCACTAAATAGAAAAGAGAGATATGGAAAACTACAACTCTTTGTTGTCATTTAGCAGTCATCTGGATTTTGGTAGCTCAGCTATGGCAGCTCTATACAAAAGCACTGTGGTGATTTATGTGCTCTTCCTCACTTGCCTCTAACCACAGCACAAACTTTGCCCCAATAACTGCTTTTTTCTTTCCATGTCCTCTTGACATTAAGTCTTAACCCATATCTGAAGCAACTTAAAGTTATCCTCAGTTGTTCCAGCTTTAAATAGATTCAATAGATTTTTGCAAGTACAATCTGGCACACTTCACTGACCATTTGACTGCCGACATAGTCGGGAGCTGGGATCAACCCTGCCCCTTTTAGCCACTTTAAACTTTGGTGGTCGCAGCCCTCCATTCTGGTTTCTTGGCACTGTGGTTTAACCTCAGGACAGATGGGACTTCCACCTTGGTAATACCTGGCTTGTGCTTTCCAATAGTGCTAATCAGATCTTAGGTGGACTCCTTATACAAACTTGTTTCATGCTTCTTCTGAAAAGAGCACCAAACTTACTTTTAAACACATATTTCATACTCTTCTGAAAGAGCACCAGTCCTTTATTTCACAGAAGATTGGAGAGAGTACTATGGTAGGTACTCTCAGATGCGTATTACTTCTGTCTCCATTGGGTGCATTACTGGTTTTCATTGCTTCTGCTCTCAAGAGAATTTTGTCTGATCATATTTTTTACCATTTTTTATTATCTCTGATAACTTATGCAAGAGTTCTATATCAATCCTACTAATCAGGCAAAGCTCCCAGGACCAGTCTTATGAAGCCATAGTTTCCACCACTTTTTGTCATATGACCTTTGATTTAGTGGGAATGTGATTTTCTTTACTCCATTTGGTTTTGGCAGCTCCCAGTGTCACAGTGATGGCTGCTGTTATTATCTGCATGACAAATATAGTTGAATAGATCTGCATGTCTGCTCTAAAACACTAGTTCTCCTTGGCTCTTTAGTGGCTACTTTCAGATGTTACCAAGCCAGGTCAGAACTGACTCCTTGGTCCCTTGCAGCAATAATCGAGACTTGCTATCCATCATTCCCTTTCAATTCATCCTGAAACATATCCAACCCCATTTGCCTTTTCCCTATTTTATGAAAAAAAAAAAACCTTATACCCATGCCTTTATGATAGCGCTCATAAAGATAGTGACAGACAAGGGAGAGGCAAGAGAATTGTAAGGAATATGGAGACAGCTTCCTTATTTTCCACACTGGTTGAATGCATGCCATTTCTTTGGTTAAGTAATTTAACAGATTTACATCTACCTAAAATTTATCTCAGAGCTGCCGACATTCACCCCAAACCACTCCATTTTGAGGAGAATGAGAGGTGATTGTTTTCCTATGAGCAAGTGATGTTTGGTGGAAGTGAAGCCAAAGGAATCTACCAATCCATTTCCTTAATTCGGCTTGCCCTATGTAGATAAAGGCAGTGCCCCTCATCAATCTTGTTATTGTGGCAGAATGAAGTTTGGCAATGTGGTCAGCACATTTTTATGCTGGCATACTATTTTTGCCATCTGAAAGATGGATGGATAGTGCTTCAACACAGTTATGAGGAAAAGCTTGTCCATTATTGGTTGGCTCTCATAAAGATAGTGCATGATTGTAGAAAGGACAGGAGGCTATAACAGTCACACCAAACTGACTATACAAACAAAAAAAAATTACCTTCACTTCCAGTGAATCCAAAACAAAGGAATTAGCTAGGACTTGGTCATGATACTTAGTCATGAGACAAATGATTTAGAAATGCTTATGCAAAAAAAAAAAGAAAAAAAAAAGGTCAAAGCATGCTGAAATGAAGAGTTAGTATGAGCAGCCAAGTATTCACTGCAGTTAAATTTAATTTTTTTCAAAAGCATCTTTAATTTTCAACAACAGTGTGTATTTACAATTTCTAAAGGAAAAACAAAACCTACTTGTGAGTTGTATACATACTTCTATTTGCTAAAATACTATATTTCATTCAGGAGCAAGGTAGGATATAAAGTGCTCTCTCCTCCTATTTCCCACCCCACAACAACCTTACGAGGTAGGAGTGAGTGAGGGAATGAGCGATTCAAAGTCATCCAAGTCATCCAGCTCTGCAGGTTGTTCTGAGGACCAGATGGAGTTTCATACTGGAGGTGGCTGCAGGATTGATGACAGACTCCACCTCCCTTCCCCTTATTCTCTGCTCTCCATCCATCTATCTTTTGTTATCAGATTGATGTATTCCCATGTTCTTTTTCACTGTTTATTTTATTGTTCTATTATTTTACTTCTGTTTGTTTACACTCCTTTCATTGCTTCCTTTTTTATTGTTGTAAACTGCCTAGAATAGCCCCACAGTGAGATAGGCAGCAAATAAATTTAACAAACGAACAAATAAATCCAATAATCTTTTGTGACTGAAGGAGGACCAGAATCTGACTGACCTCACTCCTAATCCAAAATGTTTAACAGCTACATTAAACTGACTTTCTATATGCTAGATATAACATACAGGTAGTCCTCAACTTACAACCACAATTGAACCCAAAATTTCTGTTGCTAAGTGAGAGAATTGTTACATGAATTTTGCTCCATTTTACGAACTTTCTCACCAGTTGTTAAGTGAATCACTGGACTTGTTCAATTAGTAACACAGTTAAGTGAATCTGGTTTCCTCATTGACTTTGTCAGAAGGTCGCAAAAGGGGATTACATGACCCCGGGACACTGCAACCATCATAAATATGACCCAGCTGCCAAGCATTTGAATTTTGATCATGTGGCCATGGGGATGCTGCAATGGCCATTAGTGTGAAAAACCGTCATAAGTCTTTTTTTTTCAGTGCTGCTGTAATTTTGAATAGTCTTTAAATGAATTGTGTAAATTGAGAACTACCTGTAATTTTTATTGAAGAGGTGTAACTACTGCTGTAAGGACATATATCTTGCTCCTCATGCTTGAATTTTACTGGAAGAAGAAGGAAAGAAACAGGGCAAGGTACTAAGTCCTAGAATCATGGAAGAAGCACATCTCACAGTTCTGAACAAGTGGATTGTAACTCCTATTAGAAATTCTGAATGTCCAGGCTGAGATACCATAGCATCACTTCTGTTATACAGAAAAGTTAAATGTCAGAGACACAGAAAATTACCATTACATTGAGAGTCATCCTGACACACATGGCCTATTGTTATTTCAGGGGTGAAATGCTCCCGGTTCGGACCGGCTCGGGCGAGTAGATAGCGATGGCGGCAGGCAGTTCAGAGAACTGGTAGCAAAAATCCCTCCCACCCTCCCAGCCTGCTTACCTTAGCTGCTGGTCACAATGCCTGCCTTGCTTCGCTTGCTCTCTGCAATCCATTGCAATCCATTGCATTAGCAAGCAACTGAATCCCCCGGCCTGCAATCAAGCTCATCGGTGAGCAGCTCTATCTGCCTGCTTTGCTGGCTGAGGAATTCTGGGAGTTGAAGTCCACAAGTCTTAAAGTTGCCAAGGTTGGAGACCCCTGTTCTATTGGGTAAGTTTTTTCCCCCTTTGGGAGCTTTAAAAAAATTGGTTTTTTTTTTTAGTTGTTCTTTTTTTAGACCTAGCCATTTAAAGTTTAGGAAGTTTTAAATTTAGCTGCTTTTATATAAAAATAAAAATAAAATAAAATAAAATAATATTTGTGCAGCTTTCTGAGATTTTGTGTGTTTCTGTAGTGTTTCACTCTAATTACACAAACACACAAAATCTCACAAAGCTGTATGTGGAATTTTGTATGTGTAAAGTGTGAAAGTTGGTTTTTGGGGCTAGCACAGCTGCTTTTACATTGTGGGTGAGCCAGTTGTGTTGTGTTTTGTGTGTGTAAAGTGTGAAAGTTGGGCTTTTTGTGGCTGTGTGAGGTTCCTGCTTGTTGCAGGGGCCATTTTAATTTAATTTAATTTTAATTTAATATTTAAATTTATATACCGCCCTTCTCCCGAAGGACTCAGGGTGGTGAACAGCCATAGATAAAAAACATAGAATACAAAATTTAAAAACAATTTAAAAATATATTAAACAATTTGGCCCGACAAAATCCCCCATTTAAAATTCAAATTAGAATTATACCATTGGAGAGTTAGGCCAGCCCGGCTTGATGAAATAAAAAAGGTTTGAGGGCCCACAAGTTTTGGGTCTAGCACAGCTGCTTTTACATTGTGGGTGAGCCTGTTGTGTTGTGTTTTGTAGGTTAAAAGAAGGCAAAGAAGTAACATTGACTTGACCACGCCCACCTGACCAACGAGCCACGCCCACCCAGTCAC